TGGCCCAAGTCCTTGGGCCCCTGCACCCATGTGGGAAGACCCAGAGGAAGCTCCTAGTTCGTGGCTTCAGATCAGCACAGCCCCAGCCATTGCAGCCAACTGGGGAGTGAACAAGCGAATGGAAGACCTCTCTCTCTCTCTCTCTGCCTCTCTTCTCTCTCTCTGGGTAACTCTTTCAAATAAATAAATAAGTATTTTTTTTTAAATTAGCATCCCTCCCACACCCCATTAGTATTTAAGAAAATACTCTTGGGGCTGGCACTGTGGCGCAGTAGGTTAATCCTCCGCCTGTAGCACCAGCATCCCATATGGGCACCGGTTCTAGTCCTGGCTGCTCCTCTTCCAATCCAGCTCTCTGCTGTGGCCTGGGAAAGCAGTAGAGAATGGTCCAAGTCCCTGGGGCCCTGCACCCACATGGGAGACCAGGAAGAAGCACCTGGCTCCTGACTTCGGATCAGCGCAACTCCAACCATAGCAGCCATTATGGGAGTGAACCAATGGAAGAAAGACCTTTCTCTCTGTCTCTCTCTCTCACTGTCTTTAATTCTACCTGTCAAATAAATAAATAAAATCTTTTAAAAAATATTCTTGTGATAATCTCTACAGAAGTTCCTGAAAAGGAAAACACAACAATGGTAAGAAATAAGCAAAACATCAAATTTTTCTAAAAACATGCCAGACTCCAATAGTCCTCAGGACTTCAGTCCCTCACTCAGTGATTTACAGACAAATGTGACAAGATCTCAGTCACACAAGTAAAGCACTTGATGCTCATCTTTTGGACATGAAATATCCACTTTGGGGCTGGTGCTGTGGCATAGTGGGTAAGGCTGCTGCCTGCAGTGCCGATGCCCCATATGGGCGCTGGTTTGAGTCCCAGCTGCTTCACAGCTCTCTGCTATGGCCTGGGAAAGCAGTGGAGGATGGCCCAAGTCCTTGGGCCCCTGTACCCGCATGGGAGACCCGGAAGAAGCTCCTGGCTCCTGGTTTCACAAAGGCGGAGCTCTGGTCATTGTGGCCTTCTGGGGAGTGAACCAGCAGATGAAGGATCTCTCTCTCTCTTTCTCTGCCTCTCTGTAACTCTGCCCTTCAAATAAATCAAGAAAGAAAGAAGGAAAGAAAGGAAACGAAACAAAACATTCACTTCAAGGCTTTCTGGATACTTTTACAACTGAATCATGTTTTATTCTTGGAAAAATTTTATTTCTGTTGAAGAAAAATACTCACTACAAGTAAAGTAATTGGGTTTGGTAGTGCATACTCATTTTTCTCTAGCTCTATGGTTTTCCATAAACATAATACTTTAGTTACTTATCTATTGTCTCCCTCATATCTCAGAAAGTTATCATATATTAAAAACTCAGAATGAAAAAAAAAAGTATGCACCTGGCCACTGATTTTAAAATGCACTTTTTAGACCAAATAAGAATAACAAGTTGAGCAAGAGAAAGAAATTCAAAGAAGGAGAAGGGGGGGCCAGCGCTGTGGCGTAGCGGGTAAAGCTGCCACCTGCAGTACCAGCATCCCATACAGGCGCCGGTTCAAATCCCAGCTGCTCCACTTCAAATCCAGCTCTCTGCTATGGCCTGGGAAAGCGGTAGAAGATGGCCCAAGTCCTTGGGCCCCTGCACCTGTGTGGGAGATCTGGCAGAAACTCCTGGCTCCTGGCTTCGGACAGGCACAGCTCTGGCCGTTGCAGCCAATTGCGGAGTGAGCCAGTGGATGGAAGACCTCTCTCTCTGTGTAACTCTGACTTTCAAATAAATAAATAAATCTTAAAAAAAAAAAAAAAATAGGGAGAAGGGAAAAACAAAAATACCACCACTAGTTCCTAGGTAAATAATGCCCAAATTCCTCACAAATTATGCTAAGTAGAATATGCCTACATATACAGACAGGATTCTCACCGTAAAAATCTGATAACAAGCACTATTAAAACATCAAATCAGATTATTTTGCTTACTCTTAATGTGGCAGTTTTCAAATGTGGATGAATACTGTGGTCATCCGTAATAGCCTTAAAAAATAGTGATGTCTATGTCCCATCCCCACAGATTCTTATGTAATTGGGGTGTGGCCTGAATATCAAAAATAGTTCCACAAGTAATTCTAATGTATGACCATGGCTAAAAACCACTACTTTAAAATGACATATATTGAAGACATTAACCTAGCTACTTTGGAGTATATACACAGACATTTACAAATATAACATACACAGGGGCCGGCACTGTGGCACAGCAGGTTAACCCTCTGCCAGTGGTGCCGGTATCCTATATGGGTGCCAGTTTGAGTCCCAGCTGCTCCTCTGCTGATCCAGCTCTCTGCTATGGCCTTGGAAAAGCAGTAGATGACCCAAGTACTAGGGCACCTGTACCCATATGGGAGACCTGGAAGAAGCTCCTGGCTCCTGGATTTGGATCAGCCCAGCTCTGGTCATTGTGGCCATTTGGGGAGTGAACCAGTGGATGGAAGACCTTTCTCTTTGTCTCTCCCTATGTCTGTAATTCTACTTCTCAAATAAATAAATAAAATTAAAAATATATATATAAAACACACACACACAGAGACTATTTTTGTTTTGTTTTGTTTTGTTTTTAAATCTGACCATTCCTCGTGTATACAACTTCTTGATATCCCAGGATCATAAATTTTCCCACACACTCATCCAATGTCAGCAGTTTGAAAGTAACTTTGACTTCAATGCCTTCAGGTACTCTAAAAGTTGGCAACTTGGTGTTGTATTTCATAAATAACACTCAAAAGCTGACAGAAGTACTAAGGATCCATATCTCACAAAAACATGTCCTATAGATTTGGACTTTATATTTTGCTGTCAGTCTAGGTATTATTATTATTATGTTTACCTTTTTCTTTGCAGCTTTGTTTGGTTTAACAATGTTTGTATTATAAAAGATTTTGCAGGTTAAAGTGAAATTTCAATGTTCAATTGTCACTGACCCATTTTTTTTTTACTAGTTTTAAGTTCAAGTAATATACAGTAAGTTGCACACACTTAGAGTACAATTCTGTTAAGTTTTAATGTATTTATCACCACAATTAACACAAACATTTTTATCAACCTTAAAGAGTAAGTGTTGTGGTGCAGCACATTAGGCCACTGCTTGTGACACCCACATCCCATACTGGAATGACAGTTTGAGTTCTGGCTACTCTGTGATTCTGATCCAGCTTCCTGGTAATGTGCCTAGAAGGCAGTGGATGATGGCCCAAGTACTTGGGTTCCTGCCACCAATATGGGAGACCCAACCTGAGTTCTTGGCTCCTGACTTTGGCCTGGCCTAGCCCTGGTTGTTGCAGGCATTTGGGGCAGATGGAATATACTCTCTCTCTTTCTCCAAACCCTCCCACCCCACCCACACTCTCTGTCACTCTACCTTTCAAATAAAATAAGTAAATCTAAAAACAAAGTCTTCATGCATTTCTCATAATCTAATCCATCCCTCCTCCAATTCTTATTCCCAGGCAATCACTGATCTGCCTTCTGTCACTACAGATTAGCTTGAATTTCCTAGAATTTTGTATGAATAAAATAATATATTATATATTTTTGGTATGGCTTATTTAATTCAGCACATTATTTTGATTTCCAAACATATGGTCATATGTAAAAGTTGTTTTCTTTCCATTGTTGAGTGGTACAGGGTGAACAGTCTCAATCGGAAAATTAAAACTCTGAAATGCTCCCAAATCCCATTCTGATGCTCAACCAGCAAAGTCTATACAAATATTTCAAAGTCTGAAAAACTCTGAAATCTGAACATTTTTGGTTCCAAGCACTTTGAATAAAGGATATTCAACCTGAACTCTTATCCTTTTGATTACCATACTGTATAACCAGCATGTTTTTGTGGCACAGAATTTTTTTTTTTTTTTTTTTTTGAAAAATCAGTTTGGTGATTCCCATTTTAGTTCTCACTTCACTTAGCTACATATGAAGTAGGTCACTTACATATCTCTGATACCCTCTCTAGAAACTGAAGATACAACATCTCCCCTATGTAATTTACCTATGTAAAAAAAAGACAATTGCTTAAGGACTCTGTCTTCTAAGACCTATTGATTCTACTGAGATAGGTAAACCTTCCAGGAACACAGATAGGCCCATCTGTTTACATACTGCCTGCAGCTGCTCTTGCACTACAACAGGCCTCTGAGCACACAGACTGGGTGAGTGTCAGGGGCCAGCGTTGTGGTGCAGTGGGTTAAGCTGCTGCCTGCCACTTCAGTAGCCCTTACTGGAGTGCAGGTTCAGGTTCCAGCTATTCCATTTCCAATTCAGCTTCCTGCTAATGCACTTGGGAAGACAGTAGAAGGTGGCTCAACTACTTGGGCCCCTGTCGTCCATATGGGAGACTAGGTTTCAGTTCCTGACTCATAGTTTCAGCCTGGCCCAGAACTTGATGTTGCAGCCATTTGGGGAGTAAACCAACGGATGGAAGATTTCTCTCTCTACTGTGTCTTTCAAATTAATAAATAAATTCTTAAAAAAAAAAAAAAGGATCAAACTGAGAAGTAGTTGTGAACTCTAGGGAAAAGATGGCATACTGAGTCTTTAGGAATATTACATTAATTAAGATATACTGCCTCCTATTCCTGACTATGAAGACAACTAGAAAAGATCATTTCATTCTGTGTTGTTTTATCTGAATTCATAGTCCATATTACTATTATAGCATTGCAGATTTTAACCAAATGTCAAGGATTCTGAGATCTAACCAAAACACAGTAGTGGCTAACTTCTGTGCAACCCCCTTATTGAACCACAGGTGCCAGGGTCCTGAGGCTAGTTTTTAGGCTCTGTCCACAACTGGGAATATCCATATTTTCAGGTCATTCTACCTGTGAAAAGGAATTCTAGAATAGAAGGTCTTTTCCTATGATTCTTATGATACAAAGACTGCCACATAAAATTCATCTATATGAGCCAATATGTAAGGGAAAATAAGTTTACAGACAGAACTTAAAGTTGAAATTACCTGTCCACTTTTTCCTAATTCCAGCTCTATTATAGCAACAGGAGCATGTATTTGAGTTGAGTGCCTTGACTGAGACTTGCCATCAACTCTCCAGCTCAGGCCCCGAAGCCCATTGTCCCAGCGGCTCTGGTTCACGAGGCTCTCGCGGATTTTTGTCTTGTGGCTCTTCCAGAACTTGGAAATGACAGCAGCTTGCTCAGAAGTGATCCCACCTTGCTTTTTGGTTTGAGCAGTCAAGAATGCCTCCAGCTGGTTGAAATCCATGTCTGCAGATGCAATAGACTACAAAGACAATAGAAAAAGCATTACTTTTATTTTGATAAATGATACCTTCATACCCACAGATCACATTTTCAGTGATTCTTAACCACTGAATATACTTTTTTATATACTTTCTTTTTCTAAAGATTTGTTTATTTATTTGAAAGGCAGAGCTACAGAGAGGCAGAAGCAGAGAGAGAAAGAAAGAGAGATCTTCCATCTGCTGGTTTATTCTCCCCATGGTCGCAATAGCCAGAGGTGGGCCAAGCCAGGAGCTTCTCCCAGGTCTCCCACATGGGATCAGGGGCCCAAGCACTTGGGCCATCTTATACTGCCTTCTCAGGCCATAGCAGAGAGCCAGATCAAAAGTGGAGCAGCCAGGACTCAAACCGGCGTCCACATGAGATGCTGGCACTCCAGGAGGTGGCTCTACCCACTAAGCCACAGTGCCAGCCCACTGAATATACTTTTAAAAAGGATCATCAAGCAACAGTAGTAAGTACAAAAACTCTCTCTACAAATACTAAAAACCAGAAAAGCTACTGTAAAAACTCCATGTCAGGGCCGGCACCATGGCTCACTAGGCTAATCCTCCGCCTTGCGGCGCCGGCACACCGGGTTCTAGTCCTGGTCGGGCGCTGGATTCTGTCCCGGTTGTGCCTCTTCCAGGCCAGCTCTCTGCTGTGGCCCAGGAGTGCAGTGGAGGATGGCCCAAGTACTTGGGAGACCAGGAGAAGCACCTGGCTCCTGCCTTCGGATCAGCACAGTGTGCCGGCCCCAGTGTGCCGGCCGCGGCGGCCATTGAGGGGTGAACCAATGGAAAAGGAAGACCTTTCTCTCTCTCTCTCTCTCACTGTCCACTCTGCCTGTCAAAAAAAAAAAAACCACCTCCATGTCAAGAGCAGGCACTTAGCCCAATAGTTAAAAAGCCTACATCTCACATCAGAGTGCCTGGGTTTTATTACCAGCTCTGGGTCCTAAATCCAGCCTCCTACTAACACAGATCACAGGAAGCAGCAGTCATGTTTCAAGTAATTGGGTTCCTGCTGCCTACATGGGAGGTCAAGATTGCATTCCTGGGTCCTTGCTCCAGATCAACTATTAAGGACAAGTGGGAAGTGAACTAGCAGATGGGAATGCGCTCTCTCTCAAATGAATTTACATTGCTTGAATTCTATATCAACAACTAAATGGGGCCAGCACTGTGGCATACCAGGTAAAAATGTTGCCTGCATTGCCAGCATCCCATATGGGCACCAGTTCAAGTCCCAGCTGCTCCACTTCCAGTCCAGCTCTCTATTGTGCCCTGGGAAAGCAGTGGAAGATGGCCCAAATTCTTGGGCCCCTGCACCCTCATGGGAGACCTGCAAGAATCTCCTGGCTCCTGGCTTCAGATCGGCGCAATCCGGCCATTGCGGCCATCTGGGGAGTGAACCAGCAGATGGAAGACCTCTCTCTGCCTCTCCTTCTGTTTCTGTGCAACTCTTTCAATTAAATAAATAAATAAATCTTTAAAACAAGCAAACAAACAAAAACAACTAAATGTACTCACTTCCACTGTGGAGAAATAAAATGAAAATTTTTAAAATAAGACAAAAGAATAAAATTAATTGGTCATCTAAGGAAATCTTACATAATTTCATAATGCCTCTGATTAGTTGTCATGAATACATAAAGCTGACTTTTAAAAAAATATCTTCTCAGAGCTGGCATTATGATGTAGTGGGTAAAGCCTCCACATGCAATGCCAGCAGGATCCCAAATGGGTACCAGTTCAACACCTGGCTGCTCCACTCCAGATCAAGTTCCCAGCTAATGTGTCTGGGAAAGCAGTGGAAGATGGTTCAAGTACTTGGGCCCCTGCACACATGTAGAAGACATGGAAGAAGTTCTGGCCCAGCCTAGTATTCATAGCCATTTGGAAGTGAACCAGCAGATCTCTCTCTGACTTTCCAGTAAGCTAATAAATCTTTAAAACTAAGTAAAAATTTTAAAATCTTCTCACTAGTTTTATTTTTTTTTAAGGTTTACTTATTTATTTGAAAGAGTTACAGAGACAGAGACCTTCTATCTGCTGGTTCACTCACTAAAGCCTGCAACAACCAGGGCTGGGCTAGGACAAAGCCAGGAGCCTGGAACTAAATCCAGTCTCCCATGTAGAAGGCAGGGGCCCAAGCACTCAGGCTGACTTCTGCTGCTTTCCCAGACATATTAGCAGGGAGATGGAACAAAGTGGAGCACCTAGGATTCAAACCAGTTCCCATATGAACCACAGTGCTGGCCCTGAGAAGTAGACTCTTTATCACTACCCCCAAAAAAATCTCAACTGGTACACTGTGCCAACAGTGAATACAGAGATGCCATCACCTAAAGATCAGCTACAATGCTTTCATCGTTGACCTGCAGAGACTGGTGAGACATCAAACAAGGATATGAAAAGTATCAACACAAACGTGTCTTTAACTCTACCTTTCAAATAAATAAAAATCAATGTTTAAAAACAAAATTAAAAAGGAAAATGTCTTCATTTAAAAAAATAGAAGAGCCGGCGCCACGGCTCACTAGGCTAATCCTCTGCCTTGCGGTGCCAGCACACCGGGTTCTAGTCCCAGTCGGGGCGCCAGATTCTATCCCGGTTGTCCCTCTTCCAGGCCAGCTCTCTGCTGTGGCCCGGGAGTGCAGTGGAGGATGGCCCAAGTGCTTGGGCCCTGCACCCCATGGGAGACCAGGATAAGTACCTGGCTCCTGCCATCGGATCAGCACGGTGCGCCGGCCGCAGCGGGCCACCTGCAGTGGCCATTGGAGGGTGAACCAACAGCAAAGGAAGACCTTTCTCTCTGTCTCTCTCTCTCTCTCACTGTCCACTCTGCCTGTCAAAAAAGAAAGAAAGAAAGAAAGAAAGAAAGAAAGAAAGAGAGAGAGAGAGAGAGAGAGAGAGAGAGAGAGAGAGAGAGAGAGAAAGAAAGAAAGAAAGAAAGAAAGAAAGAAAGAAAGAAAGAAAGAAAGAAAGAAAGAAAGAAAGAAAGAAAGAAAGAAAACTGTCATTAAAGTATCCTTATTAAATGGGAGCTCAGCCAGAATAGTCTAGTTTATAGCCATATACGCAGAAAGCCCAAAGATAGGCAACTCTTACATACCAAACACAAATGTCAATCATCACCATCATGGACACAAATCCAGTAAATACTCCCAAGCTTTAGGGATAAAAATCCTAAACCAGGAAGAAAGGGTGCACAAGCCTTGACTGGCCCATCTCCCCTGGTCTAAGAACATGTATTGATAAATTTTCTTTTCATAGTCAATCATTATTTTTTTACCCCAAAAGAAACCTCTTATTTTAATACAAATTTCGTAAGTACAACTTTAGGAATATAGTGATTCTTTCCACCATAAGCCCCCACCCATCCTTACTCCTAACCCATCTCCTCCTCCCTCACCCATTCCCAATCCCATTCTCCATTAAGATTAATTTTCAATTAACTTTATACACAGAAGACCAACTCTATACTAAGTAAAGATTAAACAATCGCATACACACACACACACACACACACACAACTGCTTGAGAGGCTGGCGCTGTGGCATAACAGGTAAAGTTGCCACCTGCAGTCCCAGCATCCCATATGGGCGCCCATTAGAGTCCCGGCTGCTCCACTTCCTTCCAGCTCTCTGCTATGGCCAGGGAAAGCAGTACAAGATAGCCCAAGTCCTTGTGCCTTTGGGCCCCTGATCCCCTGACCCCCATGGGAGACCCGGAAGAAGGTCCTGGCTCCTGGCTTCGGATAGGCTCAACTCTGGCAGTTGCGGTCAATTGGGGAGTGAACCAGTGGATGGAATACCTCTCATTCTCTGCCTCTCCTTCTCTCTGTGTGTGTTAACTTTGATTTTCAAATAAATAAATAAATCTTAAAAAAAAAAAACAAAAACTGGAGCCAGCACTGTGGCGTAGCGGGTGAAGCGGCCACCGCCTGCAGTGCTGGCATCCCATATGGGCATCGGTTCGCATCCCAGATGCTTCAGTTTTGATCCAGCTCTCTGCTATGGCTTGGGAAAGCAGTAGAAAATGGCCCGAGTCCTTGGGCCTTGAGCCCATGTGGGAAGACCCAGAGGAAGCTCCTGGCTCCTGGCTTCAGATAGGCACAGCTCTGGCCATTGCGGCCAATTGGAGAGTGAACCAGCAGATGGAGGACCTCTCTCTCTCTCTCTCTCTGTCTCTCTCTCTCCCTCCCTCCCTCCCCTTCTCTTTCTGTGTAACTCTTTCAAATAAATAAATAAATCTTTTTTAAAAAAAAACTGTTTGAGAACAAGTTTTACAGTTAATTCTCATAATAGAACTCATTGACAGAGGTCCTGCATGGGAAGTAAGTGCACAGTGATTCCTGTTGTTAATTTAACAATTAACACTCATATATGATGTCAGTGATCACCTGAGGATCTTGACATGCACAGCCTAGGCTATGGAAGCCACTTGGATCCAGAAACTCCGTCACTATTTAGACAAGGCCATAAGGAAAGTGGAAGTTCTCTCCTTCCTCCAGAGAAAAGTACCTCCTTCTTTGACCACTTCTTTGCACTGGGGTCTCACCCACTGAGGTCCACCATGTAGGACATTTTTTGCCACAATGTCTTGGCTTTCCATGCCTGAAATGCTCTTGTGGGCTTTTCAGCCAGACCAGAATGCTTTAAGGGCTGAATCTGAGGTCAAAGTGATATTTAAAGCGACTGTCATTCTGTGAGTCTGCTGTATGGACTGTTCCAATGTTGGAACATTCTCTCCTTTTTTTTTTTTTTAAGATTTATTTATTTATTTGAAAGTCAGAGTTACACAAAGAGAGGAGAGGCAGAGAGGGAGGGAGAGGTCTTGCATCCGAGGTTCACTCCCCAATTGGCTGCAGCAGCCAGAGCTGCGCCTATCTGAAGCCAGGAGACAGGAGCTTCCTCTGGGTCTCCCACACAGGTGCAGGGGCCCAAGGACTTGGGCCATCTTCTACTGCTTTCCCAGGCCATAACAGAGAGCTGGA